AAGCTGCTCTGTATTTAGCAGCAGTCCTCTCTGCTGTGAGCTTAGGCTGAAACAGCGCTGGTGAATGCTTCCTCTCACCTCCCAAAACTCTGTAGGAACAAATCGCTCAGGAGGATATGAACATCGTAGCCTTGATTCTACTGCCAACTTTTGCAAATGTATTACATTTTAATTCACAATCCAAAAAACAAGGAAAGCCATAAAGAAAGTAAAAGCATTAAAAAAAAAAACTGGCGTGTTGTTGTTGATTTACAGCACAGCAGTAAGAATAAACTGTCCATCTTCAAAAATCACACACATCCTTCAGTTTTTTTACTACACACTGTAACTGCACAGTCACGGTTGTTTTCCAGCTTTGTTTTGCAGTTGTGAGTGATCACCATGTGTTTCTCAGCTGATAACAGTGGCTGCATCTGTCCAGACGATCCACCTTTGTAAACTATCCCCTGTGACAACACCCCAGAAATCAGTTTGTTCCCCTCTCTCTTGTTTGTGATGAAGCCTTCTGTGAAGGCCTCCACAAGCAGGCATACTGGTGTATGTGTGGAACTGACCAATAATACAACCAAAAACTTTTGAGAACTTTGTTCTGTGAGAGTCTGTACAGCCACCTGCTACACTCGGCCGGTCAGCAGTATCTCAGTTTGATCATGCATGCATCAAGGGATGGATAAGCTATGTATTCCTCGTGTCACACAACAAAATAATCACTGGCACATGGCAGACACAGGCTGGGGTAAGATAAGGATATCTGAATTATCAGACCACAGTCAGTCTGCACATTCTGCCTTTCCACAGTGTAACAAGCGGCTGTGCTTGATGTCTTCCTTCCATTATAAAGACATGAAAAGATCTGAGAATGAAGTCTGTTGTGTAGACCTCTACATTGTTAAGGTTTTCCATTTTCAAGATGCATATTACTGCCTGGACTACACAGGCACTGAGCACAGATATCAGTTTGCTTGTCGTAGAGACAGAGAGAAGGAATGTAATTTTGTCTGTCAGACACCTACTGTAAGGAGCATGGTGAGATGCTGATTACATTTGCCTCTTGCCAGTGTTGCTAAGAAAGAACAATTCAGACATCAAAAACTTCCAGAAAGCAGAAAGATGGAGAGTGACTTACAATATGTCCCACACAGTGCGCATGGAGGCAGGGTGATGAACAGGGGAAAGCAGGAAATATCTGAACAGTTGTGTAGAAGTTAGTTGGGCAGTGAAGTGTCGACCAGAGATGGCAGATGTGATTGGTTTTAGCTGTTCAGTTGGTGCTGAGGAGAGGAGAACACGCTGTGCAGGAACAAGCTAATCTACTGATTTAATAAAGAGACAATATGAATGGATGCTTTGGAACAGTGAGGCCTGCTGCAGGAACCTGAGGCTTTAACACATGTGAAACAATAAACTAAACTAGAATAAACTAGAACATGAACTGATGTCCATTTAGGCTCAGTACTACAATTCCCATTTCCGCCAAAATGTAAAGAATATATTTGCTGCTGCACATGTATGAAATAAATATTATAATAAAAATTACTGCTAAATAATGTTTTCTTTTGCTTTTTTAAATCTCATTTTATCTTTTTTCTGGCTTCAGTGAAGTCATTTTGGATATGGGACTGTTTGGAATCATGTCTTATAAAATATTTATTAAGGTGATTATAAAGTCAGAATCTAATTGGTACAAATCACTTATACACTGATTAGGTTTTGTGAGACCCTGTTAACTAATTACACCTTTGTAATACAGTATTTAAGATTATGAATGTTGTTGCATTTTTTTACAGCAACTTACATATCAACAAGTAATATTATTATTATTATAACTAGCAATTTGAGATGGATAAAAGTGCTGCTAAAAACTTTGTAAAAGAAAAACAAATCCATGTTCATCCTCCCGATGACAGCGTTGCAGGTGCCACTGCCAAGATGAAACAGATACTCACTTCCATGTCACCAGTTTGAATACTCTGTGATATCCTCAAAAGCATGTACAAATAACGATGGATTTAGAAGCAACAGTGTGAGCTTTAGTTAGCTTTATGTCTCCTGTTCTCTGCATGGGATATGGTAAATCTTCCAGCTTTTTTGTGAGTATATGAAGTGGATGATTATTAGCGCTTTGCTTGGCTCACAAGACCTAAGGGTGTGTGATTTATTTCTGGAGGCACCCATCAAACAAAGGTTGCCTCTTGTCATTTTGACAAGCAGCCAATCTAATCAATCTGAATGATGATGGGGCGGACACATGCTAATTAGCATCAGCAGCCTGAGAAGTGTGGAACAAAGGACATCATGCTTTGTTATTCTATTCAGTGCTTGTGTGTTTGTGTTCTGCGCAGTTTGCATGCAAGGCTTACAAAGTGCAATATACAAATGATAGTGACAATTCCTGTTTAGGAAATGTATTTGTGACATTTGTGTGTGTGTGTGTGTGTGTGTGTGTGTGTGGTGTGTGTGTCATCATAGGGGAAAATGTATGAATCATAACTGAGTATCTGCAGCCTGTGGGCAGCACGGCATAAGTTCATCAGAGGTCAGACGAGCCGCCCACACACTGCTGATGACCACGGCCGCGTGCTCCAAATCTTAATGGCGTTCAGAGGGAAATTCCAATGCCGTTCAAAGATGATATGAAATAACATGAGCTGTAGTAGGAACAAGGGCTCAAAAGAAGCGAGTCAAACCAGCTTTTCCATCTGGAGCCCATTTCAAGCCAGTCTGCTGAGAATGGTTGCATCTCAGTCTGACAATATTCGGCTGAGACGCAAGACTCGTGAGCGGCACAGTGAAAGCACTTCTGAAGCTTTTTACCAACATGTCATCATGAGGCCAACGTCTCATCTCGTCTTGGTAAGTGTGTTGGTTTCCTGCAATTTTCATGAATGAATGAATGCTGCTGAGGGAGCCCTTGAGTGAGAGCAGAAGTAGCAGTTCGAGCTTTAAACTACAGAGAGCATAAAAATATAAAACCAACTGACACAACAACAACACAGGAAAAATAGGAATTTTATAAGTAGTATGACTTGCAGAGCATTAAGTTTAAACTTGAAGTGCCGATAGAAAAAAAAATTCCTCTCTGGATCTGCTTCCTCCTTATTTTACCCTCAGGTGCAACCCTGAACGGACTTCACTGATACAACACTAATATTGATCAGCTTCATTGATTTTCATCGGAAGGCATCATTTGTAACCAGGACTGATTCAAATCTGCTTTAAATGTTACTTTGCCATGAAAGTCATTATGGTGTATTTTTGAGCACTGCACACCACAACAGTTGTGTAATACATTTTCAGTAATCCTGCTTAACCAAAACCATCATTTTCAACAAGAATTTTGTGTGACAGTAAAAAAAAAAATTCTTTCAGCGTTTGTGCATTTCTTTAGAGCTGAGGATAACAGCGCAGTGAGCAAGACATTCATCATTCTGACCTTCCGATCCTTAAGAAGTGTAAAGGAGAAATGCTTGAGAAGAAAGGCATGAAAAGTGTTGTCCACTTACAGCAACTGCTGTCTGTTATTATCTGTGCTTCTCACCTGACATCTTCCTTTGACCTCACATTATCTATGTGTCCCTCCTCATTTCCTCTCACCCTTTCTCTCACCTTCTGCAGTCCTTCTTGCCTTTTCCTTCTCCTCTCTCTGCTTTCTTTCCTTTACTCCCCATAGTCTCTGCAGCCCAACCCTGTTTCCTCCCTTCCTCTCCTCATCTCATCAACCCCTCAGACACTGTGTCTCACTGGTGCTCCCATTACAATGCCCAGGGTGCATCACCACTCCATCTCCCAGTAATGGATTTCCAATGCTTCGACCATCTTATGTGTCACGTGGTCATGTATCCTCCCTGGGTAGCATCACTCTGTAAGCTATTTAGAAATGCATGAATCCTCTCTGTGTTATTGTACTCGTTCCATCATCACTCAATCCCCAGACAGAGCAGCAGTGTGCGACCCCCACCTGCTTCTCCTGCTGTACCGAGTCAAACCGATGAAGACTACTGCTGCTATGTAACAACATCACTAGACTGAACAGGTCCAAAACACAAATTGACTTATTATGCGGATATATATAATAAGAAAGTGGGTAAGAATGCAGATTATTGTTCTAATCATGGTTTAGTATGTGGAAAATGAACTGCGAGAAATGAATTTGGCTTTGTTACTGCACCAGAATGTGCTAAATTCCTTCACAGTTATACTGTGCCAGATAAAAAACTGTTTATACAAATTCTTTGCTCATCACTTGCAGTCAACAACATTTTAATTAGCTGTGAAATAGCAATTTAGACACCTTGGGCCGGCGTATTTTCATGAGAAACCATCCATGTAGTGTTACTGTGTAGGTTTGAATTCAAATCATGTTTGTCAGTCCTGAATGTCATTTGATCCTCACTTACTCGCCTTTGTCTTCACTCTGTAAAAATGATACTAAATATATGCAGATGGATTGGGAACAGTCAAACACACACGCACACACACACGAACACACACACGAACACACACACACACGCACACACACACACACACACACACACACACACCCAGCTACACACAGATACATATCAATCAACAAAACTACTGCTATTTCTGTACATATATGTGCATGACCACATTTTTTTGTATGACCACGGACACTCTATGGTTAAGTCTCCATAACAGAGTCAGATCCAGAGTCAGTCCATCCAACAGATGGATACAGACTGTGTCTGATTCATGGCTGAGCTCACACCCGATCAGGCCTTTCATTTCTGTGCAAAAATAAACACTTACAAAGCAAATCATCACCCAAAATAAGCCCCCCCCCCCCCCCGTCCTTTCGGTACACTGCTCATTGTGTTCACTGAGCCTCACAAGTTAAAAACAAGACGAATATTTGAACCATTGTTAAATGTTGAATCAATGCATATCATTGCATTGACAAAAAAACAGCGGGCAAATAAATAAATGTTTTCACATTCATATTGAAGTATATGAGCTGGGCAATCAACTTGTGGGCTTACCTTTGGCGTTTTGGTACATTTTCCGTTTCTGGCATCTTTTATGTACGCTATATCCAGGAGGTCCGTATCCTGTAAACAAAAAGATTCACAGCTAAATTAATCAGTGTCAATCAAGTGTTAACTTAAAGACAGTTTAAGACACAAAGACATTCAGTGCCCATGGAATGGCACGTTCCATTTCCAAACCAATGCCGCCCGTGGCTGAAAGGATTGTGTGTTGTGCATTGTGTGTTGTGATTGTGTGAAAGACCACAAGTGTAAAGGGACAACATTAGCCTCAATACCAGATGTCATGTGGGAGTCAATCAGTGTGGATAGATACAAGCCTAATGACACTTTGCCCTGCAAACGTGTCATTGTAGTGTTGAGTGCAAAATTAGGACAAATTTGTAAAGTTCCCATGTTGACCAATGATCTGGCAAAGTGAGCACTTGTTCTTCACAAGCACAAATAATCAAAAATATGTTCTGGAGAACTTCCGAATAAAATCAGGTACTGAACTAGTGCAACATGCCAGAAACCAAAGAAAAACGTGCCGGTTGTGTGTCATGACAGATTATATCCTCATCTGTAAACTACCACTGGAATCACTGTTGGCAAGAGAAGAAAACTGGTTGGACGCAAAACACTGCACACAATGTTCTGCTGCTGCATGAGGCTCTGCCAGCTGTTTGTGTGGTAGGCAAATAGCAAAGAGACACAACAAGGCACAATAAATAAAGTGGAACTACAAATGAGATAAACACAATGAATATCATCATTTTGTTTTAACCAAAGTTAAGTTAGCTCTCCCTCTAACTGGCTTGCCGACCTCAGGAAAGGCAACTTGTGTCCATCTCTAAGTGGACACACACTACACATACAGTATGCATCCACCCTGTCTATTCATAACTCCACCAATCCATTGACCACCTGCTTCATGCTTATTTGCATGAATATTGTCCCTTAAATAGCCAGTAATGTGGTTAGCAGTAAATATGTATAAAATGCAAACCGTACAGAAGATCCCTGGTGCCTTCCTTCAGTCACCGCATCCCTTTATCAATCTCGATTATCTCTCTCTCCATCTCTCTGAGAGGGACCCAGGACATGAGGTAGAAAATTGACCAGAGCGAACTGTGTGTCCACTCAGCATTATCTGGGGAGACAAGAAGCGACTGGGGATTGACTCAATCTCCAGCCGCAAACGCCGGTATCTGACTATCTCTAGACTGTGAGTTTGGTGGAAAATTGCACCCAGATTTCTTCCTTATCTATAAATCCATACCTGCCTTACTGGCCACCCAGGATAGTTTTCTTTTTTCAATTTCTGAGTATGACGTAAGACTATGTTAGTTCTGTGTTTGCTTTGGTCTCCGTCAAATTCTATCACCTGTAACAGTGGAAAATTGCAATTTAGCCTTATACTGGAGGTACAATTACGATACATGCACTTGGATCACACATCATTTTGTTTTTCATTCTAAGGGCATATTAACCCAAATCTGCATAAGAGCCGCATTTAGATCAGCTCTTCTTGCAGCCGCATACAGAAACATTAGTAATGAATACTGGTCATTAGAGATCATAAAAAAATTGTACCACGTTTGCTACAGTACATGTTCAGCCACAGTCTGTCTGCATATAAGAGGCAGAAATTAAACCACTCCATTCTGTGGCTGTAGAATACAAGGACAAGTTATTCGTTTTCTGAAATGTGTAGCATCAATTAGGCTGTTCCTGTTTGCGCAGAGGCAGCCTTTGAGTCAAAGGTCAACGCCTACATCAGGTCTGCAAATGCCTGCCTTTGAAGTCACTTTAGAGAGCCGGAGCTCCGCATGGGGGCCTGGTGGAACAGTTGGGCTTCAGGAAGCAGCTCGCTGATGGGGTCCTTTTTTTGTGCCCTCTGGTCCAGCACAGTTAACAACGCTCTAAGCTGGTTCAACGTCATCGCTCAAGTGTTAACCTATAGAGCCTCTTTAAAGGTAAAGCAAACGGCCTGTGTGGGGGAGAGGCTGCTCACACAGTGTGCAGCTAAAGCAATACACGTGTAGTCATTACTGTAACATCCAAAGGTCTGAATCAGCATTTGCTACAGTGAGCAGTGGCTTACTCATTGTGCGGATGTAAATAAGTAAGTTGATGGCAATGACATTTTATTAATACAGACTTGGATTTATGATTGCAGACGCTGCACAGTTAGTTAATTAAAGTACTTTCTTTCAGTCTAGCAGTCCTGCCAATATTTCTCCCGCTTAATTTCTCTCATTTATTTCCTATGACATATGTTCTTTATCTGTTCATTTCTGTCATCTCCCTTTATTGATCACACTCCGTCTTGCTCTGTCTTTCTCTCTCTTATTTACCTCCCTCTCTCAGGGCATCTCTATGTGCATCAAAACAGTGAGCAAGGATCCTCCGCTTTGCTAAAGCCTATTAAGATCTACTGCACGTCCAGGAAGCAAGCAGAGCCAGCGGGAGAGAAACCACAGAAATTAATGAACATGCTCAACCTGCGCCTGCCCTGAGCCCAGTTTTTTTTTTTTTTATGCCTGTCTATCTCTGCCGTGGAGCCCCTGTTCACGGCACGCAACATCTGCAACAAACTGCCTTCCTTTTAAAATTAAACCCATTCCTTTTCCAAGATACAAGTACGGAGGGCAGTGTTTATCTGAAACTTCATGAAATTCATCATCGATCTGTGAGTCATTTTGTTGTCAAATGTGCCACTGCTTCAGGCACTAATATATGTGCCATGTTCTTGTGTTGGACCACTCTGTGTTATCATTTAATTTGAAGAACAGTGTGTTTACTTGTGTATGAAATGTGATATACAAAACGTGACTTGAGGCTAAATCGAAAAAAAAAAAAACTTTTACAAGGTGGTTTGAATAAAAATATTTTTTTACTGAGCATCTACAATGGGGTCGGCAGAATCTGGCCGGGTTGGTTGGTTTTTCTAACGGAGTTTGAGTTGAGTTTTCCCCTTTGAAGCAACAAGCAAATAACAGATTTAGTGATACAAGCAAATGAAGGATGTACTGGTGTGAAAAGAAGAGAGAGGAGTTTAAGGAAACATGGACAGACAGGTAGAAAGGAAGAAAGGAATAAGTGGGGAGAGTGAAAGCCACAGGTTAGCTTGCTCATTCACCAACAGCATGCTTGACAGCCTCCGGGTTCAAAATGGATGTGCACTCCACAGGGCTCAGGGCCGCTGCTGAGCAACAGAGACAAGGAGCAAAGAAAGTGAAGGCAGGAAGCCAATGAAGAGGGACATGTTTGAGAAAGTACTGCTTTGTCTATTGGACCGAGGCCAGCGTGGGGAAAACATACAAGTTAGCCACATTTGTTGCTATGTGTTTCAAGATCAGTCTCAAGAATGCATTATAATAACATTTACATTTACATTTACTCATTTGGCAGATGCTTTTATCCAAAGCCACTTACAAGTGAAGAACATCAGTAAGCTTCAGTGCATAATGATGATAATACAATAATAGAACAACAATAATTATGTTTAGTAGTATAATTAAGATATAGCGATAGGAGATATGTGATTAATCAGATCATCAATTCACTAACAAGAATTTAATGGTTTATTCCACTATGTCATGCATTATCTACAACCTTTCATGCCCATGTCTTGAATGAGGTTGTGACCAGTTAGATGTGGTTTGCTTACTGGATTGCTGACCGGCTGCTAGTTTATGTCATGAGGTCACACAGACTATACTGGTATAGTATGTCAGGGAGGCCCCCTAACCCCCTTCATGCCATCCCCTGGATGAAAATAAGCCATTTTAAATACAGTACATCTGTTAGGGAGCCCAGGGAGGCTCCGTCTATTCATATAGCACACACAACTTTAAGTGCAACAGAGGTGAAAGATGAAATAGAGAGGAGATACTGGGTTTTATGTGGTGCAGAGCTAAATAAGAGCATTACATAACCAATTAAACTGTTGCATTCTTGATGCAAAAGAGTCTTCAAAGGCCCACTGACTCAGGGTCAGATGGTTCCAGGCATGGATGTGTCTCCTAATCACAAACAGAATTATTACTTAGGTAAGGGACTTAGGAGCAAAACACACTAAAGCAGCACAGGTGCTGTGCCTGTCCCTGTGAGTGGTCCTCCAGAAACACTTGGCTGCCAGAAAACATGGACTGTTATGAGGGAAAATGGTTCGAGGAGAGCCGTGCTTGAACTCGGCTGAGAGTCACATCCACTCAGCTGCTCTCTCTCTCCGCTCTTGGGTTCCTATAGAGCGGCTCCAACAGCCCCACACCTATTCACCTGAAGTGGCTGAACGAGAGAGAGAGAGTGAAAATGCTGCAAAAAAAAGTCAAAGAAAAAGCTTGTATGTAGAAGGAAAGTGATTTTGTGTACATTTTGCATGAGCAAAGAACAACTGCATCAATGGGCTGAAATAAGAACTGCATATACAGTATATACATCATAGGAGAGGCAAACAAGCACAGTTTCTCTTGCCCCTCGTTTTCTTGCTTTCTTTGCAGCGGTTGTTTTTGTTGTGGATTGATGGGAGACACAGGAGCAGCCCTGCTCTGAACACTTTGGGGCTCCATGGTGCCTTGATCAGAACTGAGAGAGAAGGAAGACCTCATAACAGCCAGCCGTGACCAAACCAGCCACTCACCTTTGTTTGTAAGACATGATTAGATTTTAGTGCTTTGTTGGCTGCATTTTTTGGCATTATTTGTTTTGAAGTGTGAACTTTACTTTGGCTATATATGTGTGTGTGTGTGTGTGTGTGTGTGTGTGTGTGTGTGTGTGTGTGTGTGTGTGTGTGTGTGTATCCTCTAAAGACCTTGCACTGAGGGTGGGGTTCTGTCTCCTGTCCTACTGGTAGTCTAAGGTGGCTTAGTATCAAAACTCTATTACTGTGGATTAAACACTTAGGTAGTATGAATTGGAGAAGGAGAGCAAAAGTGGAACGGAAATGAGGTCTGGCATATGACAAAAGCCTTGAGCCAAACTGGGGAGTCTGGCATTGCCACAAGCCTGCTTGAGGGTCTATTTAAACTAAGCAACTAAATCACTCTGTTTTTCATCCATCCACCCTGTCCTATGTC